GGGGGGGGGCATACCCACCATTTATACAAAAGGGTGCCCCTTGGCCCAAGGATACTCCAGACTAATTAAGGATAAAATTTCTTAATCCGTATGGTAGAAGAAGGATTTAAAAGGTTTTACCTATATTTCCCCTATTCGGCCCCGCCCAACTGCCCCCAGGGGGAGCCAAACCCACCGTTTATACAAAATTGAGTCTCCTTGGCCTAAGGATGTTCCAGATTAAATTTAGTCAAAATCTTCTTAACCGTTCAGGACTTAGTAGCATTTTAAAGGAAAAGTTGACGGACGGACGCCGGACCACGCCAGACGCTGCGGTATGGCATAAGCTCACCACGGTCCTTCGGACCAGGTGAGCTAAAAATGTAGGAGAAAATCTTATGATTATTTAGCCTACTAAGTTTCAAAGAAATCCGTCAAAAAATGTAGGAGGAGATCTCCGAACAAAAAAACAAATACTGAAATGAACAAAGGGCAATAACTTTTGCAAAAATTTGGTGAGGCCCCGCCCACGACGTCATTAAATTTACCGCATTTTCCAAGGGAAATAGTTTCAAAACTATCGCACCCCTCCAGACAAACTATTTCCCTGGCATGCAGTTAGAGGGGAAATAGCTTGTTTATGTGGTTACTTTTGTATAGTGGAAAATAAGAAGAGGTATAATAATAAAGTTTACCCCCTCCCCAGGGGGAAACGTGAGACCCGAGGGTCATGAAATTAACAGTTTTGGTAAAGCACTTTTAAGACCCTTCCATCTATGAAAGGTATTTGATTACACCATATCTTGGTCTTGAGAAGAAGATTTTTTTAGAAATTTCAGTCAATTTGACCCTTTTTGCCCCACCCATCAGTCCCTGGGGGTCAGTACGGGCTCATATGTGCATACCATCAAACTGCTACCCAATGCTGATAATGCTAACCTTAATTGAATTACCTCCAATAGCAATTAAACAAATGTTGGTCCAAAATGTGATTTCCCTATATAAACTATAGTAAAGTTTAACCCCTCCCCAGGGGGAAAAGTGATACCCAAGGGTCATGAAATTCACAATTTTGGTAAAACACCTTAAGACCCTTCCATCTATGAAGAGTGTTTGATTCTACCATATCTGGGTCTTGAGAAGAAGATTTTTGAAATTCCATTCAATTCAACCCTTTTTGGCCCCTCCCATCAGCCTCGGGGGGTCAGTCAGGGCTCATATGTGCATACCATCAAACTGCTATCCAATACTGATAATGCTAACCCAAATTGAATTACTTCCGATGAAAATTAAACAAATGTTGGTTCAAAATGTGATTTCCCTATTTAAACTATCGTAAAGTTTACCCCCTCCCCAGGGGTAAACTTGCGACCCAAGGTCATAAAATTCACAATTTTGGTAGAGCACCTTAAGACCCTTCCATCTATGAAGACGTGTTTGATTTTACCATATCTGGGTCTTGAGAAGAAGATTTTTGAAATTCCAGTCAATTTGACCCTTTTTGGCCCCTCCCAATAGCCCCAGGGGGTCAGTCAGGGCTCATATGTGCATACCATCAAACTGCTCCCCAATGCTGATAATGCTAACCTAAATTTAATTACTTCCAATGGAAATTAAACAAACGTTGGTCCAAAATGTGATTTCCCTATATAAACTATCGTAAAGTTTACCCCCTCCCCAGGGGGAAACGTGATACCAAAGGGTCATGAAATTCACAATTTTGGTAGAGCACCTTAAGTCCCTTCCATCTATGAAGAGTGTTTGATTCTACCATATCTAGGTCTTGAGCAGAAGATTTTTGAAATTTCATTCAATTCAACCCTTTTTGGCCCCACCCAATAGCCCCGGGGGGTCAGTCAGCGCTCATATGTGCATACCATCAAACTGCTACTCAATACTGATAATGCTAACCTAAATTGAATTACCTCCAATGGCAAGTAAACAAATGTTGGTGCAAAATGTGATTTCCCTATATGAACTATAGTAAAGTTTACCCCCTCAGGCCCCTGGGGGCCGGGGATCAACCTGGCAACTATTTTTGTTGACCTTTGGCCATGGAAGGTTTCTGCAAAATTTCATTGAAATTTGTTCAGGGGTTTTGGAGAAGAAGTCGAAAATGTAAATTGTTTACGGACACACGACGGACGACGGACGACGAACGACGAGGGACAAAAGGCGATCGCAATAGGCCACTTGAGACTTTGTCTCAGGTGACCTAAAAAGCTACCAGCCAAATCTTATATATAAATCCATTCTTTTTAGTTCTTAAGAACAAATCCTTTAGTGTTGTTGACCTCTGTGACCTCTAAAGAAGGTTGAGGTCATTTAAATTCTCAAACTTTGGTGAGCTCTATCCCAGGAAGTCACCAGCCAAATATTATAATGTAATGCCTTACGAATATTCAGTCATTTGATGTTTTTGACATATTTGACCCATGTGACCTTGAAAGAAGGTCAAGGTCATTTTCATTCTCAAACTTTGCCTGGCTCTATCTTAGGAAACCATCAGCCAAATATGAAGATTCTATACCTTTTAGTTGTTCAGAAGAAGTCGTTTAAAGAGTTTGACATATTTGACAGCTGTGACCTTGAAAGAAAGTAAGTGTCATTTCCATTCTCAAACTTTGTTGCGCTCCATCCCAGGAAGCCATGTACCAGCCAAATATGAAGATTCTATACATTTTAGTTCTTCAGAAGAAGTCGTTTGAAGCATTTGACATATTTGACCGCTGTAACCTGGAAAGTACGTCAAAGTCGTTTTCATTCTCAAACATTGTTGGGCGCTATCCAAGGAAGCCACCAGCCAAATCTTCAGGGGAAGTCGTTTTAAGCATTAAACATATCTGACTTCCGTGACCTTGAAAGTAAGTCAAAGTCATTTTCATTCTCAAACTTTGTCGGACTCCATCCTCGGAAGCCATCAGCCAAATATGATGCTTCTATACCTTTTAGTTCTATAGAAGAAGTCGTTTGAAGCGTTTGACATATTTGACCGCTGTGACCACGAAAGTAAGTCAAAGTCATTTTCATTCTCAAACATTGTTGGGCTCTATCCAAGGAAGCCACCAGCCAAATATTTAGGTTCGATATTTTCAGGAGAATTCGTTTTAAGCATTAGACATATCTGACTCCCGTGACCTTGAAAGTAAGTCAAGGTCATTTCCATTCTCAAACATTGTTGGGCTCTTTCCCAGGAAGCTCACAGCCAAATATTTAGGTTTTATACCTTTGATTCTTCAGAAGAAGTCTTTTTAAACATTAGACATATCTGACTCCTGTGACCTTGAAAGTAGGTCGAGGTCATTTTCGTTCTTAAACTTTGTTGGGCTCTATCCAAGGAACCCTTCAATCAAATATTAAGATTCTATACCTTTCAGTTCTTCAGAAGTAGTTGTTCAAAGCATTTGACATATTTGAGCGCTGTGACCTAGAAAGTTGGTCAAACTAATTTTCATTCTCAAACTTTGTTGGGCTCTATCCGAGGAAGCCACCAGCCAAATATAAAGATTCTATTCCTTTCAGTTCTTCAGAAGAAGTCGTTTGAAGTATTTGACACATTTGAACGCTGTGACCTAGAAAGTAGGTCAAGGTCATTTTCATTCTCAAACTTTGTTGGGCTCTATCCGAGAAAGCCACCAGCCAAATAGTTTTTAGTTCTGCAGAAGAAGTCGTTTTTGGGTTCGACATATTTGACCGCAGCACAGGTGAGCTAAAAAGCCTTCAGCTAAAGAATATTAATATGGAACTAGAGTAGGCCAGGGACTAGTACTAATATTAATACCCAGCCTCCTCTGTCCCGGCTGGGCGATCCCATGCCTTGTAAGTTGTAATGGAGCAAGCCTGGTGTGAATGACACGGGGTCGATTTTAGAATTAATTGACAGGATCCGCATCCATTAATAGGTTTGTTATATGAACTTTTTCTGTTGATCTTCAACATAATTTGAAGTTATACTCTGCCTTAAATGTTGTTAAATTATCTAGTTAACGTAGCAAGTGCAATCAAAATCTGAATTGACTGCCATGTTGAAAACTTTGTCCGTCTTTCGATATAGGTCAGACGTCTAAATATGTGTCATGACCAAACATGGAAATTGTAGTAAACATGGCAGCATCAGTAGTAATACTATGTTTGGCCGTGTAGGCCATATAAGGAAACGGGTAATTGAGATAACATCACGTGGAATCTAACATGGCGGTCATTTCCATTTTAAGATTTTTAGTAAGGATTCGTTATTTCAACTAATATGCAATATTTTGATAACATTATACTCATATGAGGCGTGAATCATATGTAAAATTACAGATTAACACTTTTGGTTTTGCTCAGTTAGTTGGTAGAAGGGTTCTTAGTTCTAACTAAGAATAAGATTATATCTAATAACTTTCGAGTGAACTTGAGTCTGTGGTAATGGATTTTATTTGCAGTTTGCTTAGTACTAGTAGGTGACATGTTTCGTTTATGAATATCTGAGCTCATTAACTGAAGTATTTTTACCAGAAGTTGCGTGTATCATGCATAACCTACAGTCAAGTGGCGCCTCCTGATTGAGATAAACAGGGTACATTTTCAAGAAGAATACGACGTTGTGATAAGATCACATGTACAAGCTATTCAAGGGAATTTGAGTCCAAAGTAATTTATAATAAAGACAGTAGGTCCGATTCAATTTAGTACCAGCCTCTGCTGCTTGAGCGGCGCATGACTCAAAACGGCATTTATGAATATCTTGAGCTCATTAACTGAAGTAATACCAATAGCTTGCGGCTAAGGCCTAAGCTAAAAATTGTTGTCTCAAAATTAATTTTCATCTTTTTATATATTTTTCCAGACCTGTACATTTTTTTGGGTCCTGTAAAAAAACTGATTTACAAGTCAAAATGTCCTGTAATAAAAGTTTGGCACACACTGCTGTAATTAGGCGAATATCAAACTGCACAAAGAACGATATCAACAGGTTTAAACATAAAATAAGTAACTAATTTATAACTATGATAGAGGTGTTGTTTGGAAGACAGTATTGATTCAAAATAAATGCAGCCGGTATTTGTATTCCAAAGAAGAACGGTGAATGAAGCAAGAACTTTCCTTCTCTCTTTGGCTGGAAAGACATATTTGTTAGTTTGAAATTAACCAACAGCTACTGCTAGAATGATGAGTACTAATAAGTAAAGGTGAGTAACCTCTAGTCATTTTGTGAGAAGTCTGAAATCTATTTGTGAAAACTCTTACCTTTTCCTGAGCAGTCTGCAAACCAATGGCATTAGGGATGATAAGGGCAGTCTTTTCACGAGTTATACTGATGACTTTCTCCATGGGAAGCTCGAGCTGCAATGAGTGTTGCAACTCAATCAACCTTATCCACAAAAGCAAGTTAAAGCTAAAGTTAAAGTTAAAGCTAAAGTTAAAAAGCTTTCAATTGAAATTTTAAAACAAGAGGCCCAAAGGCCCTGCATCGCTCACCTGGTATAAATATCACAGTTGTAACCTTAAAAGTGATCTAAAATCAAGCTACAGGCAAAATATCAGTATTTATGATTAAAAGTCATTCAAAAGAACTTGTTAAAAAGATTTTCAACATTTCATCCCTGTGACTTTGAAAGTGGAACAAGGTCATTATGTTGAACAAATTTTGTAGCCCTTCATCTCATAATAAAAATATTTATTCGGGTAAAATAGGCATGTTATTACAAGATATCAGAATTTAGATTAAAACATATAATTAAGATCACAATGCAGCTTGTAAATAAAACAAGAGGCCCAATGGGCCTGCATCGCTCAACTGGTATAAATCTCACACTTGTAATCTTAAAAGTGGACTAAAATATAGTTACAGGCAAAATATCAGTGTTTCATTCATAAGAACCTATTATAAGATTTAAACATATGACACCTGTGACCTTAAATGTCGAACAAGGACATTATAATATTAGGTTTAGTCTTCCAACCCAGCATGCTTCTGGAAAAATATCATTACCCTGGACCTTTTGGTTATACAGAACAATCATTTTAAGATTTAAACATATATTGACCATTGTGACCTTGAATATGGGCGAAGGTCATTCACTTGGTAGTCCTTCATCCCAGCATGTTAATGGCCAAATATCATCACCCTTGGCCTTTTGCTTATTAAGAAGAAGTCATTCAATGGTTTTAAACATATTTGACCCTTATGACCTTAAAATATATATGTCAAGGTCATTCATTTGAACTTGGTAGTCCTTCATCTCAGCATGTTACTGGTATTATCCTAGGCCTCTTGGTTATTCAGAAGAAGTTGTTTAAAGGTTAAGAACATATTTGACCCTGTGACCTTGAAAAAAGATGAAGGTCATTCATTTGAACAAACTTTATAGCCCTTCATCCCAGCATGCAACTAGCCAAATATCATCACCCTAGGCCTCTTGGTTATTCAGAAGAAGTTGTTTAAATGTTAAAAACATATATGCCCTCTGTGACCTTGAATATAAGTCAAGGTCATTTATTTGAACAAACTTGATAGCCCTTCATCCCAGCATATTACTGCCCAAATATCATCACCCTAGGCCTCTTGGTTATTCAGAAGAAATTGTTTAAATGTTTTTAACATATTTGACCCCTGTGACCTTGAATATCAGTCAAGGTCATTTATTTGAAAAATCCTGGCAGCCCTTCATCCCAGCATGTTACTGGTCAAATAGTATCATCCTAGGCCTCTCGGTTATTCAGAAGAAGTTGTATAAAAGATTTGAACATATTTGACCCCTGTGACCTTGAATATAAGGCAAGGTCATTTATTTGAAAAAACTTGGAAGCCCTTTATCCAAGCATGTTACTGGCCAAATATCATCATCCTAGGCCTCTTGGTTATTCAGAAGAAGTTGTTTAAAGATTTTAACATATTTGACCCCTGTGACCTTGAAAATTGATAAAGGTCATTTGTTTGAACAAACTTGGTAGCCCTTCATCCAAGCATGCTTCTGGCCAAATATAACTCTAGGCCTTTTGGTTACTTAGAAGAAGTTGTTTAAAGTAAAAAGTTGACGCCGGACGGACGACGGACGGACGACGGACGCCGCACCATGCCATAAGCTCACTTGGCCCTTCGGGCCAGGTGAGCTAAAAAGAGTATTTTGTTTTAAGAGCGAGAATAATAATAGATCTGACCTAATAAAAGTTTTTAATCATCGACATATATCACAGAGTATAACAAGGTTACCGCGAGCGGTATATAATACGCCCGCCACACATTGAATGAGCAGTTGTTTGTATGATTGAAATATATGAAGTATTTGTGAGTAAATGATATTAAAAGAGAAATCATTCAACATAACTGGTAGATCAATGAGTGCAATACAACATCATGGAACGCGTGCATCGCATTAATGAAACCAAGGGGAATAACTCCAATAATTACGGTCTGATAATGGCGGTTATCGAACTTGTCCGAGGTTTCATGGTAATTAACCTTGTTGTGAAGTTTGAAGTTAGTCGGATAATAATTACTCGAGATATCGAGCGGACACTGTTTCGGCAAGTCCATAAAGGGGCATAACTCCACAAATTATGGTCGGATAATGGCGGTTATC